TATACAACATATAAAGAGAAAAAAAATATAATTTTGATAATCAAATATTCAATATAAGTGTATAGCACATGCAGTGGAAATATTTTTCTTTTCAAGGTCGTGATTTTGCAGTAATATCTTGACTCTCGATGGTTCAATTAAGCTGAATTTTAAGTAGAAAATTTCCGAAAATTTGTCGTTATCGTGTGAACCATTGACAAACTCGTGAAAATATTTAATTTTGAAATATTAATTTTTTTTTACTATAAAAGAACTGAAAATTTAATAATATTCCATTAAGATATTTGCAATTTTGTTAACTTTTACTCAATTTCTATTATAGTGGTTCACACACGATAACGATAAACTTACGGAAATTTTCTATCTAAAATTTAGCTTAATTGAACCACCGAGAGTCAAGATATTATTGCAAAATGAGGAACTTGAAAAGAAAAACGAAATATATTTTAACTGCACGTGCCATACACTTATATTGAGTATTTGATCATCAATATTATATTTTTCTTCTCTTTGTATATATGTTGTATAAATACACGTCAAAATAACACTTTCGCACATTCACTCAGTTTGTCATAAAAAATTGTGAAAAAACAAGCACGATTTTCAGGCAATCTGATCCTCCAGCCCCGTTAAACCGTTGCAATAGAGTGAATCGAAGAATTAAAGAATCTTACGCTTAAAATTTAAAAAATATTCAACAGTACAACCTAAACTGCATATTCAAAAAGTATGTAAATATGAAAGTAATACGAGAGAGCGCTCTCTCTTTCTTTCCTCCTCTTTCTCTCGCTTTCTCGCTGTCTCTCGCATTACTTTCATATTTACATTTCTCCTGGATTTTCAGTTTAGATTGTTCTCTTATATCTCTTATATTTGAAGCACAAGATTTTTCAATTATACAAAAACATCAATATTGCAACGATTTCACCAGGAATTCTCTCGAATGTATTGACACGTTTTCACGTTACCTAAAACTTACTTTCGCATCACGTATTGTCATATCGGCTTCTGTCATAACCGATTACCGTTCGAGTCTTGAGCAATGATTATAAAATGTGAGAATTGTCATAAGATAGATTACTTCAGTGTAAATGTAGAAAAAGTGTCCAAACCGTTTCACTTTCAATTGTACACTTATTATTACAATATAATGTAATAAACATTCGTAAAATGCGAAGAAACATTTATTAATACTTATCACACACAAAAAAATACATATTGCATTCAAATAAATATTACTTGTTTCAAATATTTTATAAGTTTTTATATCCACAACTTTATTATAAGTTCACATCATAAGCATCAAATTTATTCTAAATATATCCTGAATCTCAATAAATGTTTAGCATTTTAATTAAGAATATTAAATTAAAAGTTAAAAATCAAAGCAGCTTTTTTTTATAAAGTTTCATAATATTCTTGTGAAGAGAATGAATTCTATTCTTGAATACATGATAATAATCTTTTTCTAAAACTTATAATGAATATATTTTAAGATTATTATCAAGAAAATATTCATTGTTGAAGATAGCCATTACTTAAAAGAAGGAAAGTAAACTAAGTCATTGCTTTCATTAATAAAATTATATTTTTTTGATATTTTTTTCCAGTGCACAGAAAGAGGAGAGGAAGAGAGAGAGGAGGAGGAGGAGAGAGGAATGAGCATGTGGAATATCATAAAAGTGAATAGAGAGACCTTTTTTCTTTTCTTTTTTGTTGCGTGATAATATATATAGAATTGATGCCTTGCTATAATGTACGCAGTAGATAAAGGAAATAAAATAGAGGTGTTATCATATTTATGTTCAAAGTTTAAATTTGTTATTATATTTATTATATATATATTATATTTATTAAATTTAAATTTGTATTTTCAAATTTTTTTTAGTACAATATAAAGTGGCAGTTAAAATGATACGCGCTATATGCTTTCTATCTCGTTATAAAAAAATATATCTAATATTAATATATAATATATTATTATAATAAAATATATATAATATACACAATATAATAATAATCGTATAAAAAACAACTACCTAAAATTATGAAGGTTAATATAAGGGTGTGTGTGTTTCTTAAAAATATGTGTTATATTTTTTTAATTAATAAAAGATACAATAAAATTTCAATTTTTTTTTACGAAAATCCGTTATTAGCGGAAAGTTCAGAATATGGCATGTAATATTCATAAAAATAAAATTACTTTGGTTGATCTTATCTTGTTTCATATCTCGTTTAATAAAGCATTTCGAGAGTTATCTGATTGTAATTATACTTTACTCATTTTGAAAAAAGTCATCAAATTTTTTAATGTTTATAATAATGTTTTTAATTTTAATAATGTTTTAATGTTTATAAATTTTTATTCATAAAAATTTTTTAATGTTTTATTTATAAAGTTGTTTTTCGTTTTATTTATAAAATTTTTTTTTCATTTTGTTCATAAAATTCTTTAACTCCTTACTGTTGAAACATCCTAAATAAAATTTTTAAAACATTCTATTCTCACCTATCTGTGACACCTCCTCTATTAAAGTAGCAGTAAATTTCCAAAATAAAAATGGGCACACTCAAAGGGTTAAAGAAAATTTTTGCTAATCATATTTTCAACAACGTATTAATATCAAGCGAAACTCGCAGCGATATCTTCCGCTCGTGCAAAATTATCTCAAGAAGGTGAAGTGTGCTAATGTCTTCTTTTTAGTCATCTTATAAGTTGTGCTAACTACGCGGGAAGTCAATTAGAATTAAAGAGGCGAATCCATTTAATAGTCGGTGTTAATCGGGCGATTATTCAATGGCAAGGTAGAATGTTCCCAGGCGCGTCCACCCACACACACACACACATCTCCAATCCTAGCAGATATATTTATTTGACTTTGACGCGTCAGGACACATCGTAAAATAAATCGGCGCTAACTGTGAGCTCCCTAACTTGCGAATTGCTTGACAGAGGAAGAAAGAGGATGATAAAGGGAAGTCTAGAGAAAGAGAGAGCTCTGCACGTGGCGAAAATTTCGGCGATGATTGTTGATACCGTATTACAGGTCTGCACGCACACACACCTACCACGTACGTCTAGAGAAATCTTAGTAGTTCAAGGTGCTCGATGGCAAATTATCTAGTTGCGAAGACACACGCACACACTATTCATTCACACACGCGATTCGTGGTTCCCGCGATATTGTATCTCGCGAATGTATGCCACGGGATTATATCAAGGTGAATTTCGCATACATAGGCAACGGAGAAATAAAAGTGCACGAAAAGAAAGGAGAAACATGACTTAATCGAGATAATGTGCGTCACCTAATCTCGCTAAGATATTTATGCTTTCTTGTAATTAATACCACTGTGAACGGCTGGTCCTATCGCGCTTGTCGAGATAGTACAAAAACGAGATAGCACTAGCTTCTACACGGCAAAGCGAGAATATTGTCTATGGATTTCCGAGCCTTTTTTCTAACCAAGATACGCCGAGTTATAATTTCCGTAATCTTAAAAGCCTTTAAAATGCGGGTGTAACTATTTAAGATTTGAAGAGAAATAATTAATTATTGCCAAACAATCAGAATTTAAGATTTGAGGTAATAATTAATTAAATTTAAAGAAACAATAAATAAATAAATAAATAATAATAATAATAAATAATAACTCGATTGCGGAAAATTTTGAATTTCTTTATAATAACTTTGTTCGTCCCCTTTTTATGCAAAATTTTATTTGATCTAACTTAATATAAATTAATTAAATTTAAAGAAATAATTATTATTGATTGTTGAAATTGCTTAATCTTTTTTAAGGATTTTAAATAAAAATATTTTAAACTTAATGATTAACTTTTGAAGATTTTAATTTAAAAATTTAATTTATTATTTATAAGAAAATTAGGATGTGGCTGATTCAGACAATCAAAATATAAATTCTTTTTTTATGCAAAATTTTGTTTAACACAACGCAGTATAAATTAATTAAATTAAAAGAAATCATGATTATACTGACATGCAGAATTTTTTTTAAACTTTTTTTACGTTCTGGGAAACAAAAGTCGTTTTTTACGTAATTTTGCTCACAGAATCTGAATCTGGCTGCAGAATTACTCTATTACGTCAGATTTTCGAGATAAATGGGTTAAAATAGTTAAAAAACAGCGATTTTAGCTATATTCGTCTTATTATTAAAATTATATAAGAAACGACTTTTGTTTTCCAAAACGCAAGACTATACGTACCTGCCTTGCTTAAAATATTTGATAGAAAATGATTGGATAAGATTCCTATATAAATGGATAGAATTCCTATATTGATTTATACGATTTATCATGCACCGAAGTCGTACAACACATAGACTATATATTTTAAACATATTTAATGATACTATTTTTTTCAATTATCTTGAATATTGATGTTTGTATAATAAATTGATATTTCTGAATCATAGTAAATATCGCATTATGTATTTATTATTATTTTATAATAAACTACTTATAATATTCGTTCATAATATTTCTACTTATAATGATATGATGATTCTTATAATGATGATTCTATTTATAATGATAGTTACAAAATGGTCAGATAAAAATGAAAAGAATATCTATATAGTTTAATCATATCTTATGATACTATTCTTTTCCATGTTAAATATGAAAGTTGATATAATCAGTTTATATTTATCAATCATAGACAATACATGGTATATGAATTTACTTACGAAATTTTGTAAATAAGTTGTGAAATATGTGAATCAAAATCACCATAAATTATGACAGACAAATTTTTTATCCAACATTTTCTATCCAACATTTTAAACAGGGTGTGTTATTGATTGACGAAACTACCAAATTTCTTTTTAAGAATTTTAAGTTAAAACATTTTAATTCTTAACAATTAACTTTGAAAGATTTTCAACATTTTAAAGCTAAGTCTGTTATTAAAAACAAAATCGAAATGTGATTCATTCGGGCAATTAAAATAATCAATTCCTTTTCGTTGCAGGATCTTGTTTTACACGACGCAACCCGCTCACGTGATTATGATCGCGGCGGTTTTGTTCGTCACGTCGGTTCTCGTTCCGACGAAAGAAAGGATACAGGTCTCTTCGGATTATTCTCACTCAAGGACGGCATCCTTCATTTATCTCGCGTCCTTTGTGATGCATTTCGGTGCCCAAATCTGGATGACCTTCGTATCAGGTAATTGAGAAACTGTTGCGTTTGTTTTAAACACGAATGTAATACTCAAATCGACTTTCTCTATAATGTATGATCCATATTCGCAGGTCTATCCTTATACTTCGCATTGCCGCGACACACGTTCGGCGAGGTACAACGTGTCCTATTCCCGAGATACTTCACGATCAACGCGTGCTTGAGTCTCATTACGCTCCTCATATTCGTCAAGCACCATCCGACGCATACATGGGACACAGAAATCGCAATTCAGGTTTGTAGATAATACTCGCAAAATTTTGTATTTCTTAATCTTCAAATGTTTTGTTTTAATACCGTAGAAAAGAAGTTTTTGTTTTCATGTAGTATCTGTTCCTTCTTAGAGAAAAAGATCTTAACCCTTTGTGCTTGTATGTTTGTTCTCAGTTTCCGGAGATAAAAAAAGTGTCAATCAAGTGTTTTACTTATTTACTTTCAGAAGATCACATAATTAGGAGATACGTACAAAAAATCGTGACACAAAATCTTGGTAAATCTAAAATTTATGTTTCATTTCTCTTTTATATTCTTCACAAATAAAAGGTAAAAAAATTTATTACGAGCTGGCTGATACACTGAATTCAAATTATCAGGAGTACAAATTATCAAAGGGGATTCAAATTATCGAAGGGTTAATATTTAATCATATCTTTTCTAAGAGAATTTCTGAGGAAAAAATTTACATAAAAAATTCTATCTACACGGAGATAATATTATAGCTTCTTTCATAATAAAATCCTTTCAAGTTTCCTAGCAATGTAGGAATAAACTGTCAATAGAGTTTATCTTGCTAAAGATTACAATAAATTTTTTTATACGAGACTTCAATTTCTAAAATATATGAATAGTTACCAATACAAACATGAATAATAAAATTCAAAATATATTTATATAATAAAATATATAAATATAGAGCGAGTTTCTAAAATTTTTTTAATAGAATGGACTTTATTTTCTGGAATATAAATAGTTATAAATATAAATATAAATAATAATTCAAAATATATTGGTAATAAAGTATGTAAACATGGTGTCAATTTCTATAATGTAAATAAGGCATATAAAAAAGGAAGGATAATAAATTAAACCTAGCCAGAATTACAAATCACGATGATTTCAGAATCACTATAACAACTCACTTTCCGATCAGGATTCGATCATTTTCTTACTATTTTGGCGTAACTTCTGTTCTACCTAAGTAATTATCTAAGTAGAACAGAAAATCACGATGACATCAAAATGACGAGGAAATAATCGGATCGTAATTGAAAAGTGAGTTTTTTAGTCATTTTCTGATCATTTTAACGTCATCGTGCTTTTTTGTTCCCTCTAAGTATATTCTCCGGTTACTGAAAGAAATGATTCGATAAAAAATTAACAAACGGATATTTCCAATGAAAATACCGATTAATTTTTGTATCCGGTCAAAAAACATTCGATAAGAAATATCTGTTTGCAATTCAAAAGACCGGCCTATCTTATCAAATACCATTACGATCGGAAATATTCGATTAAATTTAATCGGAAAAATTCATCAATATTTTGATCGGAAATATCTGTTTGTTAATCTTTTTTGTTAATAATTTCTCTCAGGATACAGAATTCTATTCTCACTACAAAATTCTCTCCATGTAGAAAAGTTTGTTTTATAGGAACTGGAGGGTCAGATTACCGGAAAATCGTGTTTGTTTTTTCACAATTTTTTATGACAAACTGAATGAATATGCGAAAGTATTATTTTGATGTATATTTACAACATATAAAGAGAAGAAAAATATAATTTATACAATATGTTATTACAACATATATATTATATTATTACATATAAGTATATAATATAAGTATATTGTAATAATATAAGTATATATTATTACAACATATAAAGAGAAGAAAAATATAATTTTGATGATACTTAATAGAAGTGTATGGTACATGCAGTTAAATATATTTCGTTTTTCAAGGTCGTCATTTTGTAATAATATCTTGACTCTCGGTGATTCAATTAAGCTGAATTTTAGGTAGAAAATTTCCGTAAACTTATCGTTATCGTGTGAACCACTACAATGGAAATTGAATAAAAATTAACAAAATTGCAAATATCTTAATGGAATATTATTAAATTTTCAGTTTTTTTATAGTAAAAAAATTAATATTTCAAGATTAAATATTTTCACGAGTGTGGTTCATTCGATAACGACAATTATGGAAATTTTCTACCTAAAATTCAGCTTAATTGAATCACCGAGAGTCAAGATATTACTGCAAAATGACAACTTTGAAAAGAAAAACGAAATATATTTTAACTGCATGTACCATATACACTTACATTGATCATCAAAATTATATTTTTCTTCTCTTTATATATTGTATAAATACACATCAAAATAACACTTTCGCATATTCATTCAGTTTGTCATAAAAAATTGTGAAAAAACAAGCACGATTTTCAAGCTATCTGACCCTCCAGTCCTCTTAATCGTCAATCTTTGAACTTGACAAATGAAATTCACGTGATTTCCGTACAGGTCGGCGGGATGTCGGGCGCTTTCTTCCTGGAACTGCTGTTGCGACTCTACCTGACGCCACCTCTTCTGCGGCTAATTGTGCTGAAAAACAATTTGGAACGCGCAGCAGGCGTCGGGGGTGAGATCGGTCGTCACACCGCCGGTCCGCTCAAGTACTGCCCGCACTACTTTAAGATCCACCATGCCTTTCGCCGTGTGCACGTGTGCATCGCCATGGGAAACATGCTCACCATGGCGTGCACGGTTCTTCATCTGCATTACATAGCGAATAAATTGTGCGTTCTGTAAATGGAACGATCGGTTCGCCAGTTCGGGCAAGCATCCCGATGCTTGACTCGTTCGCTTCGGGAACATATCCCGAGGTATACGTAGACGTAGTTTAGAAAATAACTCGAAGAGGAAGAAGAAGCGCGTCTCGTACGATAGTTCGATAGTAAACGAAAGCCGGAGGTCCGAGTGTGCTCTGAACGCGCCTCGCGACACGACGCGGAAGATATTAATGATCTTTCCTGCCATTAATTAAAGTAAGCATCTCGATAATTTGGACTAAGCGCGAGTCTTTCGGCGATGTAGTTGTCTAGATTCTTGGAATTGGTGCCCTTGCACCGAAACTGTCCAAGTATTCACAGTCTGATCTTATATTTAACTATAGAACACCATACTTTTTTCGACTCCTAATTTCACTACATTGGGTGCACATCCAGCAAACTTTCATGATCAATATTTCCTTGAGAAGACGAAACTTTTTAACATCTTCTTTTGTTTGAACATCAAAATGTCAAAAATACGCTTATACCATTAATTACACAATTAAAGTTTTAGAAAAAAAGTTTTAGAAAAGAAGTTAATTTTACAAAAAGACTAAATAGAAATTTCCTTGATCACAAAAAGGCTATTTAATTTGCTCGAAAATTTATAACTTTTTTTTATAACATCGTATTGTATAAAACCAATTACTATTTGTTAAAGATAAAGAATGTAACTTTTCAGAAAAAATTGAAACAACGATTTAAAAAAATATATATTTCTTTAACATGACGAATTTTAACGTTAAAACTGATTTCAATGGTTTCATAGATTGCATTGTTTTTTATTCGGCTGCATAGAATTGTAAATGTTTTGCAGAGTGAAAATACAAATATCAATGGATGAGAAAAACACCAGATGTTGTGTTAAAAACAAAAAAATTTAGGTAAAAAATTCTTTTTAAAGGAAATTTTGCAACACTTTGAAATTTTTTTAGAAACAAGGTTTATTTTAGAAAAACAATACAAAGTATGAAATTGCATTATGTCAGTATCCAGCTATGTAGCTGGATGTAATAAAACGGCCTTTACATCTTGATAATATTTAACTTAAGTACAGTGGCGTAGCCAGGGGGGCTGAGGGGGCTGCAGCCCCCCCCCCCCGAAATTAATTTTCTGGGTGACGTTAAGTGTGAGAAAAATTTTTTCGAATAACCTTTTTTTGCTCGTCAAAAATAAAAAGTACAGCCCCTCCCGAAACTTTTTTTTGGCTATGCCATTGCTTAAGTATATATGATCAGATGAATACAGCTTTAATGTGCGCTAATATGAATCCTTTCGTCCCACGTCTTTTTCCGGACAGCATAAGGAAATTGCAAGTGTTATTTTGTGGACATATTGTTTTATTTCAATATATTGTACAAGAATTTCTAATATATATTTTTTCGCTTCGACGTCGAAACAAAGAAACAGGAGCCTTAAAAGACTCGTTTCAGACGTTGAGATGTTTCCATCTTTCAAGATAATTTCAGATTTAAAACAGAATTGTTTTAGATATCTTTCAGAGATGTCTCTAAAACATATTTCAAATTTTGCTGTCTGGGTTTCTTCCTTCTTACCCTAAGTAGAACAGAAAATCATAATGACATCAAAATGACGATAAAATGATTGCATCGTGATTGAAAAAGCAGTTTTTTTAATAATTTTTTCGTCATTTTGACATCATTTTGACGCCATTGTTTTTTCGTTCTGCTATGGAATCCTTTGTAATTGCGTTCTGTAATGATAATTACAAAAAATACCACGAAAAGAATACGAAAGAAAAAGGGAAAGGAGGAAGAAATAGAAGCACCGAGCGAGGTGGTCGTTTGTAAGCGCGTATCGGACCTCAATCAGAACAGAAAATCACGAAGACGTCAAAACAACGAAAAAATGATCGAGACTCAAAAGTGAGTCTTTTTCGTCATTTTGTTGTCATTTTGACGTCATCGTGATGTCGTGCTCTACCTGGGACAGCTCTGCCGTTGTGCTGTAATAGCCTGAACTCGCTCTACGTTCAAGTAGAACGACTACTCAGTGAAGTTCGCTCGATCGCCTCGTTCGCTCTTAATCTATAATGGGACGTCGTCGTTCGCGCACACATTCGCCGTGACACATGTCCTCTCAGAACACTATCCGGGAGAGAATCAAGCCGAGATGATGACGGTAATGATGACGATGACGATGATAGTAATGATAATGGACGAGTTTTCACGTTTCTCACGATATCGATCTGCTTTTAATTCCGTGATAGTGTGCTGTATAAATTATTGTTGAATAATTGTGCGAAACGCGTGCGTGTGATTCGCGAGAATGTCTCTTGAGATAATTGTGTGTGGATATTGATCATTTATCAAACATTAGAAATAAGGCTCTGATAGCATCAAATTAAATCAAATGTAATATCTTAGGCAAACAAGAACCACTCGCAGGATATAGTTTAATTAATTTTTCTTTCGAAAGGATAATAATGTCTTGCGATGTCTTTGATCATTTATATTCATCGACGTGTGATTTCGCGTGGATAACACCGGGACGAAAATACGTCGCCGTCTCATTTGAAGTATACATGACTTCAATGATGCTTTCCACTTCCGATTAGGGTTTTGTCTTATACACATCATAACTGCATATTGTTGCATCACGACTGTTGGTTTTGAGAAGAATTGGCAGTCGCATGATAGTGACTTTCTCGCATTAATCGATGATCAATCAGTTAATCAGTTTAATCAGATTCACTCAGTCAATAGTTAATTAATTAATTAATCAGACTAACTCATCTCCGGCAGAATTACCGACAAATAAGTAAAAATAATTCATAAAAAGCAAGTTGGTTATCAAAATGAGTAAATAAAAAATTCTCATGTTCTCATTGTTACTTATCTATTTAAAATCATCATCAGTCAAGTTTTAATTGCTATATACTGCTATTATACACACAATAATTAATTTTTTGATTGTCAGAATAAATTATTCAAGTAGCCAAACCTGCAGAAGCTGATTTTGCTTGGTGTCTATTGTAAATTTTGTTTCAGCAGTTTTCTAGCAAAAATACAAATAGGATTTGCAAAATATGATGACAAATTAGCGGCGGAAATTGAGCGAGATCTGTGTGTGTATACTATTTAAATATATCTAAAAAGAACATATATTATAAGTCCTGTTCGGTTTCTGTTGTCAATCTATCATCAACAGAACACAAGTTTAATGCAGACATAGATGATCATAAACCTGCCATGGTATTCTGATTGGCAGTGACGTAGCCAGGGGAGGCTAAGGGAGCTGCAGCCCCTCCCAAATTTAAATTGAATAATTGAAAAATTGAATAATTTTCTGGGTTACGCTAAGTGTGAGAAAAATTTTTTCAAATGTCCTTTTTTTTGCTCGTCAAAAATAAAAAGTACAATCCCCCCGAAACTTTTTTCTGGCTACGCCACTGCTGATTAGTATTCTGATTTGAACTTAGAATTTAGAACGTGACACATATTATGGGGTGCTGACGATAAAGCGCTCAGAGTTAATTCCTAAGTTCAAATCAAAATACTAATCAGCAGTGGCGTAGCCAGAAAAAAGTTTCGGGGGGATTGTACTTTTTATTTTTGACGAGCAAAAAAAAGGACATTTGAAAAAATTTTTCTCACACTTAGCGTAACCCAGAAAATTATTCAATTTTTCAATTATTCAATTTAAATTTGGGAGGGGCTGCAGCTCCCTTAGCCTCCCCTGGCTACGTCACTGCCAATCAGAATACCATGGCAGGTTTATGATCATCTATGTCTGCATTAAACTTGTGTTCTGTTGATGATAGATTGACAACAGAAACCGAACAGGACTTATAATATATGTTCTTTTTAGATATATTTAAATAGTATACACACACAGATCTCGCTCAATTTCCGCCGCTAATTTGTCATCATATTTTGCAAATCCTATTTGTATTTTTGCTAGAAAACTGCTGAAACAAAATTTACAATAGACACCAAGCAAAATCAGCTTCTGCAGGTTTGGCTACTTGAATAATTTATTCTGACAATCAAAAAATTAATTATTGTGTGTATAATAGCAGTATATAGCAATTAAAACTTGACTGATGATGATTTTAAATAGATAAGTAACAATGAGAACATGAGAATTTTTTATTTACTCATTTTGATAACCAACTTGCTTTTTATGAATTATTTTTACTTATTTGTCGGTAATTCTGCCGGAGATGAGTTAGTCTGATTAATTAATTAATTAACTATTGACTGAGTGAATCTGATTAAACTGATTAACTGATTGATCATCGATTAATGCGAGAAAGTCACTATCATGCGACTGCCAATTCTTCTCAAAACCAACAGTCGTGATGCAACAATATGCAGTTATGATGTGTATAAGACAAAACCCTAATCGGAAGTGGAAAGCATCATTGAAGTCATGTATACTTCAAATGAGACGGCGACGTATTTTCGTCCCGGTGTTATCCACGCGAAATCACACGTCGATGAATATAAATGATCAAAGACATCGCAAGACATTATTATCCTTTCGAAAGAAAAATTAATTAAACTATATCCTGCGAGTGGTTCTTGTTTGCCTAAGATATTACATTTGATTTAATTTGATGCTATCAGAGCCTTATTTCTAATGTTTGATAAATGATCAATATCCACACACAATTATCTCAAGAGACATTCTCGCGAATCACACGCACGCGTTTCGCACAATTATTCAACAATAATTTATACAGCACACTATCACGGAATTAAAAGCAGATCGATATCGTGAGAAACGTGAAAACTCGTCCATTATCATTACTATCATCGTCATCGTCATCATTACCGTCATCATCTCGGCTTGATTCTCTCCCGGATAGTGTTCTGAGAGGACATGTGTCACGGCGAATGTGTGCGCGAACGACGACGTCCCATTATAGATTAAGAGCGAACGAGGCGATCGAGCGAACTTCACTGAGTAGTCGTTCTACTTGAACGTAGAGCGAGTTCAGGCTATTACAGCACAACGGCAGAGCTGTCCCAGGTAGAGCACGACATCACGATGACGTCAAAATGACAACAAAATGACGAAAAAGACTCACTTTTGAGTCTCGATCATTTTTTCGTTGTTTTGACGTCTTCGTGATTTTCTGTTCTGATTGAGGTCCGATACGCGCTTACAAACGACCACCTCGCTCGGTGCTTCTATTTCTTCCTCCTTTCCCTTTTTCTTTCGTATTCTTTTCGTGGTATTTTTTGTAATTATCATTACAGAACGCAATTACAAAGGATTCCATAGCAGAACGAAAAAACAATGGCGTCAAAATGATGTCAAAATGACGAAAAAATTATTAAAAAAACTGCTTTTTCAATCACGATGCAATCATTTTATCGTCATTTTGATGTCATTATGATTTTCTGTTCTACTTAGGGTAAGAAGGAAGAAACCCAGACAGCAAAATTTGAAATATGTTTTAGAGACATCTCTGAAAGATATCTAAAACAATTCTGTTTTAAATCTGAAATTATCTTGAAAGATGGAAACATCTCAACGTCTGAAACGAGTCTTTTAAGGCTCCTGTTTCTTTGTTTCGACGTCGAAGCGAAAAAATATATATTAGAAATTCTTGTACAATATATTGAAATAAAACAATATGTCCACAAAATAACACTTGCAATTTCCTTATGCTGTCCGGAAAAAGACGTGGGACGAAAGGATTCATATTAGCGCACATTAAAGCTGTATTCATCTGATCATATATACTTAAGCAATGGCATAGCCAAAAAAAAGTTTCGGGAGGGGCTGTACTTTTTATTTTTGACGAGCAAAAAAAGGTTATTCGAAAAAATTTTTCTCACACTTAGCGTAACCCAGAAAATTAATTTCGGGGGGGGGG